CATATGAAAGCAGTTTGAGGCAAATATTATCTTCATTTAGTAGACAAAGAGACTACAGATAAGTTATAGATGGAGGTCTTCTATCTATATTATTGAAGATTATTATTCCTAATTTTATTCTTTCTATACCAATATGGTCCTAGAAGAAGAGTATCGGCTTTACTCATACAAATATAATTATTTAGTAAGTTGTATTAATGTTAACACAAAACTTGCAAATGAAATTTGCATAGTAATTATTGAAGAGGAAGAATAAAAATTTGTCCATATTCTCTTTTATAAGATAGTATTATCAACAACCTGTTTAATAATTACAAAGACATCTTTAACACCTGCAGATGAAAATTTTTGTTTTCTTCATTTAGATATTCACTCATATACCATGAAATGTTTTATCATAACTTTTTGATTAAATTTGTGTATTTGATGAGTTTTATTTTCTCCTTTGTTTTTCACAATTATAACTTTAAAAAATGTTAGTACAAAGAGTAAGATTCGGAAATAGAGAATAGTGAAATAGAAATATAGATAGTGAAATAGAGAATGCAATGCACATCTCTGAAAAGAAAAGACAGCACAAGATAGGGATGGATCTAACTGCTTTCACAGAAGAGTCTTTGTTAAACAGACAGGCCTGAGATTTCATTTAGTATATCCAGAGAACAGTAACCATAGTGAGCACACAGTTTATACAAACAACTATACTTATCTCATTTACATTTATTTCTGTAAAAAATAAAGTTTATAGCATTCAGGAAGTTTGCCATCTGGTTGGGAAGACAAAATGTGTAAACATGCTGAAAAGTTATAAACAATGAAAAAATATACATAGACTAATAAAATTGTAGGGCTAATATATGCTCCATAAATGGCCATGCTCTACAACTCTGAATTCAGAAAGAACCATATGCTGATTCAGTATGTTTTGGTTTCAATCTTTGGTCTGGTTTTAATTCCGATGACTGAAGTAGGGTATTTAAAATTTAACCTTCTCGCATTTACACTTATAAACAACAACATATGTCTGCAGTTGTTATTTATCAATACATATACATTCATATATATCAAATCTGTTTGACATTAAAGAAGAGGCCATATACCTTTAAAATTAAGTTTTGCAATAAAAATTTGAGAACATCACTGCAATGCTAAAAGCAATCAACATCTAATAAAATATGTAATTTTTTAAGGTTTATCACTACCTAGAGGGTACAAGAAAGGAAAAGCTTCTGGAACACAAAATTCTAGCAAACAGAGAAGTAGTGATTATATCAAAGATAAGGAAGGGATATATATATATATATATATATATATATAACAGAACAGTTTTTTTTTTGCAGCATCACATTTAACAAGTATATTCTAGTTGTCCACTGATGGCTTATGATAGCAATTGTAGCCTCACAGAACACTGAGATATGAAGGTCCCTTGATAGAGTCTAGCCAAGAAGAAAAGGGTCAGCATAAAGCAGGGTTAAAGCACAGCTCAAGTGGTATTGTGTCAGCCTGTTAAGCAGAATGTCCTGAATTCAAACAACAGTACTATATATGAGAGAGAGGGAGAGAAGGGAGGGAGAGAGAACAGAGGGTGGGTAATGGATTCTATCATATTCCACTCACAGAATCACAGAAAATGATTTTTTGTGATGGGGAAGAAAGGGAACTTCAAATTCATCCTAAATTTAGATCTTTCTGTTGAAGGGTTTCAGCAGAAAAGTGACCAGAACAGATCTTATCAGAGTCAGATTAACACTACAAGTTTTAAGAAAATTCCATCTAATAAGATATAGGACCAGAATTTCCTAAACAAATATGTCCTAGATTCAAATCCAAAAGATTATAATTGAGTTCTGTAAACAAAACGAGAAGTAGGTAACAATACTGTGAAAGTTTAATTTGACATAGTAAAATGACAAGCTGTGTCTTTCCTTTTGTATTTCCAAAATCACACTCTTCAATATGATATATTTATTACTTCTAGACAAAGGGAGTAATTAGCTGTAATCATACATGAAATCTTTTTTATACATGTAATTTCATTTTTGTAAACTGAATGTACAAAAGTAAAAATTAAACTGGAAAATAAGTAAAATAATTTTATGGATTATAATTCAAAAGTTTCTATGTGGTATGGATGATTCTATCTATTCAAATTGCATACCATTACTAAAAATTATATAACCTGATATACGTCAAGGGAGTTAGAAGCTAAAATAATCATTATTATTAGTATAAACCAATAATAAACAATATGGCTAGTATAATGTAGATTGTTTTTAGAATAATAATGGTATTACAATACATAATATGATTTTTCACTCACTATAAAAGGTAATTACACTTAGATGTTTGTACATGTAATGTATAAAATATGAACACATTATATGCATATTATTTGTACTATATGATGCCTATATTTTATATATATTATGTGACTGTATATTATATAATATGAAAAACACATATAATATATAAAAACAAAATCCTCAAAGAAATAACCACCCCATTAATAAATGGGCTAAAGATTTAAAGAGAGACTTCCCTGAAGAGGAAATAAGAAAGGCCAATAGACACATGAAGAAATGTTCAACACCTCTGGCCATGATCAAAAGAACATTGAGATTCCACTTCATGCCAGTTAGAATAGCTATAATAACGAAATCTATAAAAAGAGATGCTGGAGGGGATGTGCCAAAAGGGAATGTTACTATACTGTGCATGGAATGTAAATATGTTCAACTACTCTGGAAAGCAGTGGGAAGGTTCCTCAAAGGACTCCACATAGCTCTCCCCTATGACGCAGTAATCCCACTTCTGGGCATTTACCCTAATGAACTGAAACAAAGCCACACTAAAGCTACCGGCACTACTATATTTATTACAGTATTATTTGCCATAGCTAAGCTAAGGAACCAACCCAGATGCCCCTCAGTAGATGAATGGATCAAGGAAACATGTGTGTGTGTGTGTGTGTGTGTGTGTGTGTGTGTAAGGAGTTCTATGTTTCCATTAGAAAGAATGACACCATCCCATTTGTAACAAAATGGACTGACTTTGAAAAAAATTATATTAAGTAAAGTAAGCCAGACCCAAAGAGACATAGGTCCATGGTCTCAATTTTTTTGGGGGTGGAGGGGTCGGTCTTGACCTTGGGGTCTAGGCGTTGTCCCTCAGCTCTTCAGCTCAAGGCTAGCACTCTACCACTTGAGCTTCAGCGACACTTCCGGTTTTCTGGTGGTTTATTGGAGATAAGAGTTTCACGGACTTTCCTGCCCCGGGTTGGCTTTGAACCGTGATCCCCATATCTCAGCCTCCTGAGTAGTTAGGACTACAGGCGTGAGCCATCGGCGCCTAGCTTCCCTTATTTTTAATAATTAGTATAGGTCTAGGATAGTTTTAGCAGAGAATCATAATAACTTAATAGCTATGTATATATTTCTAAAATTATGCTAATCACAATGAACTACAAGATATGGAAACAAGAGGGTTGTTTTTGTATGTTTTTTTCTTAGTGCACTGTATGCAGTTATTCCTTTTTGCCTTTTTTATTTTTTTTACTTCCCCCAGTTGTTTGGTTTACCCCCTGTTGTCACTGTTTTAGCTTTTAGGACCCTTTGTAGTGTATATAAGTTTTATCTGATTTGGGCATGGGAAAGGTAATCATCACAGAAATGGTGAGACAAAGGACAAAGGGTGAACCAATGCGAACAATGATACTCAGAAGGTATTATGTTGGAAATGAACTATACAGCTTGTATGGGAGTAGAATGAATGCAGGGGATGCGAGTGGGAAATCTGGAGAAAACAAGGGAGTGGTTAATACTATTCTAAAAGAAATGTACTCATTACCTTACTTGTGTAACTGTTACCCCTATGTCTATCACCACCTTTAAAAAAATTAAAACAAAAATAATAAGCTGTGTAGCCAGGTTCCCATGGCTCAAGTCTATAATCCTACCTACTCAGGAGGCTGAGAACAGAGGATTGCTGTTCAAAGCCAGCCACGGCAGAAAAGTCCCCATGAGACTCTTATCTCCAATTAAACAGTCAAAAATTGGAACTGGAACTGTGGCTCAATGTGCTAGAGCACTAACCTTGATGGAAAGAGCTCAGGACAGGACCAGGCCTAGAGTTCAAACCCCCCATGGCAGACATAAAAATTACAAGCAAAAGAAACCAACTCTGTGTGTATGTGTGTGTGTGTGTGTGTGTGTGTGTGTGTAAGAGTATTTAAATCTAAATGTATGAATTAGTTAAATAATTATGCCTTTCTACCAAGACAAGCAATATTTTGGCCTTCTGTGGAAATTATTAAAAATCAAATTTATTGATGCTTAAATTGTTTTATTCTTAGAATCTTATAATTCCATAACCAACAAACTTACGAATAATTCATGTATTTTGTCTGCCTGAAATCTAAATATTATAAATGAGTTCTGGATAGTCAAGTGTACTTAGTGTTTATTTTCAAACATGAATCTGTGTGTCTTTCATACACAAACTCATTCTCACAAATTGCCTATGTGGATTGTGTTAATTCAGTATTTTTTTTTTTTTGTCAGTCATGAGGTTTGAACTCTGGGTCTGAGAGCTGTCCCTCAGCTCTTCAGCTCAAGGCTAGCGCTCTACCACTTAAGCTACAGAACCACTTCTGTTTTTTTCTGGTGGTTTATTGGAGTTAAGAGTCTCATGGACTTTTCCTGTCTGGACTAGCTTTGAACCACGATCCTCAGATCTCAGCCTCCTGAGTAGCTAGGGTTACAGGCACGAGACACCAGCACCCGGCTGAACTCAATAATTTTTAATAACTAAAAATTAAATACACAACAATTATATTACCATAACTTGTGTAATTACCTTGGTTCAATGGTAAATCTAGTTCAAATGACTTTTAATTCACTAACAATGTAGTTTGAAAGATATGCAAAATACGCATTTTCTAATATGTCATAGTGTTTTAGTATATTCATTTTGATGTGGGGCTTTTTTCCATTGTTTACCTTTAATTTCCTTGTCATTTTTGAACCATCTTATATCAGCTGCGGGTTTACTGCCAGATGTTTTGCAAGTCAACTGCATCAAGTCTCCCTCCATAACAGGTGAAGAGAATCCACTAATTTGAGGCTTCTCTGGAACACCTGAAATTTAAGTAAATAAGGAAGTTATCATCAATCTCCATATGTTTTATGATAAAATTAAATACTTTACACACATATAGTTTTTAGGTATGTGTAGTTCAAATCACAAGATTTTACGTGCAAAAATATTTTTTGCAATTCTGAAACACAATCATAACCAGCATAGGTTAAAGAAAGTAAAACACATTCAGGATAGAATCCATAAAAATTGTTACTTTGTTTTTGGAAAATTATAACATCGCTCATCAAACATCTTCCTTTCCCGATCCTGAAATGTTTTTTGTCATTTCCTTAAAGTGGTTTTGTCACCTTCTGTGTATTTTGAGAAAATAAAGTTTTGGGTAAGAGATCCATCAATGAACTGTTTTGATTATTTATCTTATTCCTTTAAATGAGAGAATGTCTCTTGATAAGATTTGCATAAAAATGCAATTTAGGTTGGAGAAGTAGGGTATATATTATTTTAATGCTAACTATGGCTACTTTTTTCTAGTCCTTATCAACATACGCAGTTATATTATAGTATATGAATGATTTAAAAATTCAAAGGTATATATACTTCTTGGGTATATATGAATTAAATTTTCTTATCAAATCATTCAATAATAAACATATACTAAAACTTTATTTAACTATATTGATCTACTTTAAGTTTTGAGGAGACTAAATACACAAATGTTGGAAAGTTTAAATATGAAGTATTCAAATTAAACAAAACCTACAATTACTAAGATCTGTTGTTTTTCTGGTCAAAGTACAAAATAATAAATGGTATTCAGTAATTATTTTTCTTTTTGAGTCTCATGTCTTTCTAGAGAAGAAAATATTACTTAAACTTAAGTAATTGTTAACTTGGAATACTCGATGTTGTTGGTACACACACACACACACATATCTTCAATGACAAACTGGAGAAGATTTTTTTAAATAAAATCATTCCAGCAGGACTCACAGTGAAACATTATTTTATATCTTAAGCACAAAACCAATTTGCTATCTGGATTAACCTTAGTATTCCCAACCCAAGAGGTGTGTATTCGTTCTTTTGAATGCAACATTGTGTGTTTATCTATCTAAAAAGGATAGCAGACTAGTGGGGGAATCAATCTTCAAATTTCTCTAACTTCTACAGAACACAGGTGTTTTCAATGAACTGCAGCAATTTGCACTGATTGGGGCACCGGTGTCTATAGAATTGCAGAGCTCTGAGCTGCAACTTTATTTCGTCAGAATCTCTACAAATATATTGCTTTTTTATGTCACTTTAACCTTTGGGAAAATAAGTCTGATACTTAAAAAATAAAAGCACAGAGATGCCACAAGCTGCATGAACAAGTGACATTATGTACTTCATTTGGGAATCTAGAAACTGCAACTGTAAAAAGAAAGAAAATGCATGGAAATGTCACAGTCATTTAAAGGCACTAAAATATACAAAAGAGTAATTTTTGAAAGCTACAGGTTATAGGGAAGGTCTCTATTGAGTGACTTATAGAAAAGAAGAGGCACAAGGTACACACAAGTTGAATCCATCGTGTTCATGGCCATGTCATTTAATAAAGGGAGCAGAGTACATCCTATATCGAGATGATTCTATCAAGATTAATTAGAAATTAAGGAAATTGACAGGTGTTGGTGAATAATAGACGAAATGTTCTATACTTTCTGGTTGTCATATAAATCTATGTATTTCCTTTTGTCCATTTGGACAATGAGAAAAAACCATACTAGATGGAGTTTAAATATCTTTTGTTGTACAATAGCAGAGAATAATTTGAACTGAATCTATCAATGATTTTCAAAATATATTATCTAGTTGCATCACTTTGCTGTGGTGGAATGAAGGTCTCTAGAATTTCTATTGGAATTAATCAGTTGCACTTACCCAAAACAGTGAGATAAGCCTTGGAAGTTTTGACAGGCATTGTAAATAAGGAACAGGTGTACTGTCCTTCATCGGAGAGAGATACATCACTGACACTGATGCTCAATTCATGCCAGGAAGCGCGAACCAGCTCGATCCTATTGTCTCTTAAAGCTAAAAAAATATTGAAAGTGAATAACATTAGAAATAGTCCATATTTTTATACATTTTCAACACATTATTGATACCTTCTGTTTGACATATATCTATGATTCCTGAACTAGTTTAAATAGTTTGACATAATTTATCAGTTTTTTTTTAACAAAAGCACAATGAAGTGCTCATTAATGGTTTCTGGAGTTATTTTTTAGTTAAATGATTAAATCTAGTATAATGCTAGATAAAGCGATGTTTGTGCTAGCAGCTGACCTCTATAAAGGATGCTATGGCATGCCAGAACCAAGGAAAAATGTGAACAAAATGTTGTCATTTCTGTGGACAGATAGCTCTGGGAATCTGATTGCTGACGACATTCAAGAAACTGAACAAAGAGAATTGTTATATTAAAAGTTCAATAGGGACATTTACTGAACTTTACCTAAATCTAAGGTGATATTTAACTGAAAACACTTGCAGGCTACCAGATACTTAAATTCACTCTGATTGGCTGAGATAGATCATGCTCATATAAGCTTTGATCAAAATCACTTTCCTATCACAGAACACTTGTTTTCATTCAATATATCTTAGAATGCTATAGAGTTTGCTACACAGTTTTTTGTGGGAGGGCACAGGAGTCTCAGTCATTGTTATGTATATCTTATGATTACAAAATCATATTTTCATTAAGTAAACACATAAAATCTGGAATTAAGCAGGATATTACTAGTGAAATATAGAAAAAGGAAGCAAAGATGCTCAAGGATACCCAGATATAATGAATAATATAGTGGCTAGCTAAAAGGAAAAGATGGTCCATGGCCATCTTCTCCCAGTTATAGAAGAAGCTTGATTATATTGTTGATCAAATAGGGTCTCTCCCTCAGTATAAAAAGACACTTGGTCACCTTCAATGAAATATAGAAGAAATATCACAGACAAACATCCCCCAAAAGTAACCTCAAATTCAGCCTGAGAACCCTGGCCCATCTTGGGGAAGGTATTTAGATAACAAGACAATAACTAGAAGAGCCTTTCACAATAAGAAGTCTTCAAAATGCCTTTTCCAAGGCAACAGAGAATACCTTGCCCTACCAAATCATTGCCAAGGTGAGTTCACCAATCATCTACCGTGAAAATTTCTTTGCTAGTTAATTTGCTAAATAGTAGAACTTCTGCATGAGATTTTTCATAACATTCTTTTTCATTGCATTCCTTTCCCAGTTTATAAATACATATAGTGTCATCTCCAATATGCTTCAAAAAGGAAGTTCAAGTATAGAAGAATAAAGGACAACCTGCAGTGGTACAACCGAGGATCTCCTAAAACTCAATGGACTCCCAGTGAGCAGGAAACTTGTCTCAATATCTCAGCACCCTGAACCATAGCTCTCTGCACAGTAGGTATTCAATGAGTGGCTGTTACGTTGAAAGTGAGAACTAAACTCTGTCTGTATATGATAAGAACAGTGTAACAAAGAACTGAGCTGGGAAATCCTCTTCAATATCTCTCCACAGGATTCCCCATGGGAAAGAAGTCAAATAAAGAGAAAAAGAAAAGAAATAGAGGTAGAGAAAGAAGGGAGAATTAATTTTAAAAAAGCTCCCATTTACAGGCTATGGGCATAAAAGAGTTAGAAACCCCATGCTACATAGTTTTCAACCAAGTGATATTTCATTGGTAAGTGATTTGAAGTACCAAGTAGGTGATCTTTGATATAATACCTTTGCCTCACAGTTTCCAAATGAACATTCATGGCAAGGTAATAGTTGATCAGAGACCACCTGTATTGCTATGTAGTAATTTCCAAATATGTAGTGAACAAAGAATTATAATATTGTCAGTGGATGTAAATTTAGTTTTTAAAAAGTTTCCCCATGAAAGCAAGGAATGCAAATGGTTTATCTTCCAAAAATAAGTTTGAATCTTACATATGTCTCTTTAAAACATTTCCCTACAAATGAATAATTGTAGAGCAGGAATGAGCAATTGTAATTTTTAAAAGAGGAAAAACAAATTACACATACTGCAGTGATTAAAAAAAAAAAAAGAACTACTAGATAGGCCTCTCTGGTCCAAAAAATAACTACTAGATAGGCCTCTCTGGTCCAGCATCATTAACCATTAGGTACTTTCCAAACACAGTAAGCTGATTTAATGGTTTAAAATCCTAAATTCTGGAGAGTTTAAAACAAGAAGTACTGACCAATGAGTAAAAATCTGTTAACAATCACTTAATGGTAAACATTATTATTACAATATATTATTGTTTCAAAGTGGTTTATTAATATAAAAATAAACACTGTTATTCATGTTACATAAAATTATAATTTCTAAGAAAATTTTTTGGATAAATTTAGTCATAATTTTCCTAAGAAAATTTCTTGGATAAATTTAGTAATGCCCATTTGTGACAAAAGTTGTCAGAATATTTGGTAAGCTACATGCTAATTCAATTAAAAAAGTGAAATAATAACAACAGTATAATTGTATCCATTTAACATTATTTATCCAGGAGTCTACTAGGAGAGTTAGGAAAAGGAAGTTCAATTGCAGAGTGCTGTCTTACCAATCTATACTCTTATAATTTTTACATCCCTGCAAAATCTATTCAATTCAATTATGTTTAAATAGATTTCTAGTGAGAAATAATTAACTTTACATTCTATAAAATACTTACATAATATCAAATATTTTTGCTGTTTAAATATTAACTAACATAATTATATCATTGTTTTATTTGCTTTTTTCTAGTTCACCCACTCGTTTGCCCCATGACTTCTTCCCATGAGATGATTATGACGGATTGAGTTATACACAATTCCTCACAATTCCTCATGATCCATACGCAAAATTATTGCTAGTTTATTGAATTATTAAATTTAATAAGAACATATTCCTAATTTGTAAAAGTAGTTTATGAGTTTATGTGTTAATGGTTTAGAATAATATTGTATACTTTATATAATACATATTTTATATAAGGGAATTCTGTATAGTGAATTTTTTATTATTGTATTGAATTACTATGCAGTTTACACAGAAGAACCAGAGATAAAATCCCATCAGAATAATAGCAGTACTTTCAAATGTCATCTTGGCTATTTAATTTCTTTTTTTGGGGGGAGGGTCTGGTCCTGGGGATTGAACTCTGGGCTTGGGCGCTGTCCCTCAGCAATTCAGCTCAAGGCTAGTGCTCTACCACTTGAGCCACAGCGCCGCTTCAGGCTTTTTTCTTTTTGTTTATGTGGTACTGAGGAATCGAACCCAGGGCCTCATGCATGCAAAGCAAGTGCTCTACCACTGAGCCACCTTCCCAGCCCTAATTTCTTAATATTATTATAATTAATATAGCTAAGGCAAGCATACATTTCCAGATACATGAGATATTACCAAGCAGTGTAATCACTTAAAAGCATTCAAAATTCTTTTAATATCCAAACAGTTTTTGTAATGAAAGCTCCACAAATCAGATATGGAATGCATTTTAAGAATCTTGCTACCTATTCTCCTTAGCCTAAGAGCACATCATCTCTATCCAGTAGATGTTGTAGGGAGTTTAGAAGTGTTAACATAATCAACCAAATTCTGCTGACAGGTAAGATTTATCTACAAATTTCAATACTAAACTTTTGATTTAATTTAAGATTTATTTTGCTGTGCATTGCATAAGAATATCCTCTTTTCTATTTCCACTTTTTGATAACAAGGATACCTGGACTTTAATTTGATTTTTTTGCAGGAATATTGTATTGTCCACCTGGTTCAGGCCTAATTGCCTAATGTACTTCAGTCCTAATCACAATTTCTCTGGACTTGGTTAATTACCAAGATGATACATTCAATACAAAAACCCCAATATCTATGAGTGTTACATATCTATTTTCCACCTCCTACCCCTTTATCTTTGTGAAAGAGAATTGGATTTGGTATGCCAAAATGATTTTTTTTCCTGCTGAGTGGATTTGAACACTAAGAACGAAGATCATTTAAGGAAAGCTAAGTCAAATAAATTATCATAAAACCTATAAAAAACCTATAAAAAGTATAAAGAATCAGGCCTAATACTTTTTAGCTTGACATTTGTGATGTTAAAATTTTTCTCTCCCTATTGCCCAAAAGCTAAGAGAAAGGGAAATCTTGTCACTCTCAATGGATACTTTATTTGCTGATAGCTCAGCACAGTTTTAGTTAATGTATTAAAATGTTTGAGTTCCATGCATGTATCAGTACTGGGAAGTACTGGAAAAAAACTGAAAGATGAAGCAAGTGAATCTTTTCTGTTTTGTTCTTTTACAGTCAGACAACATAGAACAATCTAAATCAATTTTCTGGAAAATTGAAAAAAAACAACCATTGCTTCAGAGCTGCTTTTTGGTATACCAAGTTTCAGCCTGGATGAAATCTTACCAGAGCCATAGTTAATGGGCTTTTAGAATAAAATGTGAAGAGAACCTAAGCAATAAATCTGGAAACTGTGTAGCCATTTGGAAGACTTTTAACAGAATTCCACTTTTTAAACTTCAGCTTTTCTTATTTCAAATGTATAAAAGCAAAGAGTGACTACTCGGTCCCATACCTAAAAGCTCTTTTATGTAACATTTGTAACAGCAAAGCAAAAATGTTGCCACGTGATATATAAAATTAATATACTTTCATTGGAAATATACTATACAAGAAATACTAATAATGTGTTTAACTTCCACATTATTTCTCATTTTGTATACTTTTTTTATTTGCCAGACTTGCTGACTTTGCTAAAAACGAACATCCTCTTTATGAGGTGGGCTCTTTTATTCTATTGTTTCCTACAGCTATGTACTTGAGCTAGTTTGATAACACACTAGTATCTTTACAGTGAGATCACATTTAAACTGTTACAAAATATAAGGCCTGAGTCTGTTTTCTCAATCCTCCCAGAAGCCTCCTCAAAAGTCTCATCAATTAGAAAAAATAACTGAGCATTTGTAGAAATATGGAAGAAAAAAATTCTCTTTCTCCGTATGTTATAAAT